ATATATATACATATATATATATATATATATATATATATATATATATATATATATATATATATATATATATATATATATATATATATATATATATATATATATATATATATATATATATATATTAGGTGATTTTGTTAAAAATGGTATATTTCATGAAATAATTTGAATCACAAAAAATCCCACGGTCAAGCAGGGTGAAATATGATTAGGAAGCTAGGTTTGAAATTTTAGTTTCAGTTGTTGAGGCAAAATCAAGTTATTAGGTTTTAAAGATTTACTAAAAGCATTTGTTTTACAACACATTTTTGACCATTATGAATAATAAAATTACAAAAAAAAAATTAGCTGTTTTTTATTTTATATTAATATAAATTTATTCTCATAAAAAAAAAAAATTCAAAATTTTGATTATTTCATAAAAAACTTGTTTTCAGTTGTGTGCCACCTTAAACAAGAAAACCATGAGCATGTCTCTGATACCAGTATTCTGAAAAAATACTGAAGCCCGTCATAAATGTAAATACAAAAAGTATAATATGTTTTCATGAAAATGCTGACGTTAAGGAACTTCTAGCGCTAGGTCCTAACGAAAGGCTGCTTTATCATCCTTTGTCGGCACAGTCAATTATTTTAAAATGAACCCGACCGTTTTGTACAAAAATTGACAGCCTTGCAACATAATAGAATGTGTATCACGCATTACCTTTAACGAGTCGATTCAGAATAGAAGAAAGTTTTAAACGGAAAAACGTTATGAATCTTGTTTGGCAGACATTATTCGTTTGAATTGTTCTGTTTTGCCTGATCTGAACGCTTTTTTTTTTTAATATATACATTTTATTTGTTATTTTAGGTGCCCCAAGAAGTCCTAATGGTCTTGTCACAGAGCACCGCGTATGTGCCTTCAATCAGAAGGTTCACGCCTCCTTCCTTACCGTGATGTAAAATATGTCCAATGCTCGTTTTAAACCTGGATCTTCTGCTTATAAAGCAAGCACTCTAACCATTGTGCCACGGCCGCAGAAACTCATTTTCAAGTTGTGAGAACTATAAAAATAAATGGTTGTTCGTTGCATAGGTTTACTATTCTCCAATAGTACAATAACTAAGTGCTTTTGACGATATTGGATTACCTAAAAACAAGTGCCACAGAAATGATAAACAATCAAAAAATTTTAATGTTTTTTCAACAATTTATTTTACATAGATATCAGCGTTTTTTTACTATATCACCGTTTGTTTTGTCAACAAGGCTATGGTTTGCCAATCAACAAAAAGCCGTTTATTTTTTGTCTTGTTTGACAGTGTTTCTTTTGTCAACATGACTTGCTAATCAACAAGAAACCATTAAAATAAAAGCAAAGTCAAAAAAATCAAAATAATCTTTTTAGGACATTTATTCTAAAAATTAAATTATGTTGGTCCTGTAATTAGTGGTAAAAGCAATTTCTCTCGACAAATTTTGCAAAATGGCAAATATCCAAATGCCATTTGACTACATGTCATAAGATGACATGACAAAGATGAGTTTAAAGATGAACAAAGATGAGCATAATGGCAAATTCTTGTCAAAAGCAACTACAATGTTAACGAAAACATTTATTTCCACGTGTTGAATGATAAACTCAAATCTAGAGATATAATACAAAATATTGTCCGTTGTTCCACTGAAGTTAACAATCTAAGATTAACAAACAAACGTCCCTGAAAAACCAAAATTGCATTTGATGGCATTTAAGACAAGTGTTTAAAAAGCAACCAGCATCGCGACCTGATTACAAATGGTTCTGAATGTGGCATTCAGACAATTAGTTTCTTATACTCTATTCCATTGAAAATTGCAGCCTGGAATAAATTTGCCAACAACTACCATGAGGTGGTCGCCTTGCAGGCTCTACACTAAACAAGTGTTATTTAATATAATGATAAAGATAAAACACTAAATAATTGAGAAAAAAATTGACATTTGTGTCAAAATGTTTGCTCCAATGTTAAAAAAAGAAAATCAACGGACAGCCATGAGATCTACCTTTGAATAAACACCTTTGATAAACTTACCAAAGATTATGTTAAGCTGACAGATGAAGTGCGAGCGTTGATCAAAAAGAGTTATTGAGATGTTGATTCTGTTATGAAACATTTTGTAATACAAACACATGAATGGTTTTATTCAAATGAATAAAAATGGAAACAATAAAAAAAAAAAAATTAAAATAAAGGAACTCAACAAATTGATTCATAACTTTGTAAAAGTCAATTTAGAACAGTTGAAAATATATTTTGATTCGAACCATTATAGAATATTTTAGATCTAAGGCGTCCAGTTTAATTACCCGTTTGCCTTGTTATAAAACATTTCGCTATTTTTGTAGAGAATACACTGTTTTTAAATATTTCAAATAAAACAAATGATTTATAATCGTCTTTTTAATGTTAACTCACGGTACAAAAGAATTGTTTTAAAAAAATGTTAAACGTCAAAATAGAGAAACTTTTAAAGACAACTACTTGGAGAAAAAGAGTAAAAATGGTACAACGGTAGAAGAAATGAATCCGCCATCCAATCAAAATCCATACTTGTCAGTTTTACCAGACCAAGGACGATTTATTTACATTTCTTTGGAAAACGACAGAAACGTGATTGATGAAGAAATTGCTTTTCAAAAAGAAATTAATGCCATCCTTCTTTGAATGTCACTACTGAACAGTGACTCGGCTAGTTCAATCATTACAAATCCTAAATTGTTGAAACGCTATACAGACACTGGTGATATAAACACTTTTGAATCCTATCTGCAAAATTGTACGTTAAAAAATGCCAACACAATTTACAAGACCAAAGCTCTAGCCAACTTCAATAGATCACTGAGAGAAAGCAGTCAACGTTTTCAAAGTTTTTTTTAAAAAACTTTTACAAAAAACTTTTACAAAAAACGTTATGCAAGGGTTTTACAAAAAACGTAATGCAGATCAGAGTTTCCTTGTTTTGGATTACAAAAACTATATTTTTGAAACAGGTGAAACAATAGAAATGATCATTTTATATTTGACATTCACAAAATTAAAACCATATCTGATCGAAGCGAGGGTATCGATGTATGTTTCGCCAACTTAAAGACTTATGTAAAACCTGCTTTTTTGAAAAATTATTTTTAACTAATTTCTGGAATCCACGGTAAAAATACAATATTTTTTGATAAAATTGATAAACGTTGAATTTCAATATTTGTTTTTTATTATGTGGATTTCAGGATAAGCCCGAAGTTAAACACCAGTCTTTAAATCAGCAAAAATTTTACAACATATACGCATCAAAAAAAATAAACTTTCTTTTTCTATAAATTTTTACCCATGTGTGTACAAACTTGAATGCTCCTGCAAAAAATGTTATATCAGTGAAACAAAATTAAAAATCTCATCTCGCATTTCCCAATATCAGAAAAATACATAGGAAGGAATATAGGATTATTGAGCAATAGTGGAACAATCGAAAATTGCCATGATAATTTTACATAGAACAATAAAAATACATTAAAAATACTTTAAAAGTAGAGGTTAATAACTTTAACAGAAAGGTTAAGGAGGTACTTGAAATTCAACGCTATAAATGTCCACCTTCAGAAGGTGAACTGTCTGAATCAGATCGCAGTTTGAATTAGACCACCGCAACGGTCTTAACGGGTGGTTACTAAAAATCCGGACAAACTTTAACTGAATTTTAAATGCCACAAGCTAAATCTTTTTTATTCATGTTTATATCCATTTTATAGCTTATTTAATTCTCTATAAGTTAATTTTTTTTTTTTTTAGATAATTAATAATAATTAAAAAAATAATGATGACCAAGCAAGAAGAGGTAAGAAAACGGATTTACGAGTTCTATTTGAATAATAAATTGCAAGGTAAAAAGTTCACAGTAGCTCACTTCAATGCTGAAAAAATCCCAAGAAGCACTATCTATGATGTAACCAAAAGTGTTGAGAATGATTCTGGGCACAAAAGAGTGCAAGGAAGTGGTCGTGTGGCCAAAACCATGACCCCTAAGAGGATCAAGCGCCTGAAAGCCATATTTGATCACAGTGACCGAGTTTCGATGAGGCAAGCTGGTCGAAAATTTGGATGCAGTCGTTCACATATCATTAAAACTCTTGCCAAGTACACTGACATCAAAAGTTATACAAAACAGGGTATACCTCATCGACAAGAGAACCAGAATGAGCGAATCAAAACTGGCATTGATCGTCTTTATCGCGTTTTTAAAGGAAAATCGGTCATCCTTGACGATGAGTCATACTTCACGCAGTCACACTCAACAATTAATGGAAACTGCACCTACTACTCTAGCAACAGAGACAAGACTCCACCAAGTGTTAAATATCGCAAAAAGCGCAAGTTCGAACCCAAGTGCTTGTCTGGCTGGCCGGTTCTGACAAAGGTGTTTCAAAACCATTTTTTATACCCAGCGGCCTTGCAGTCAATAAAGCCATCTATGAAATGAATTGTATTAGAAAAAGATTAGTGCCGTTCATCAACGCTTATCATGCCGATGGTAATTACATATTTTGGCCGGACCTGGCTTCATCGCATTAAGCCAAAACCGTGACCAGCTGCTACGAGACTCATAACATCAATTTTATCAAAAAAGTTGACAATCCTCCAGCCGTACCGGAGTGTCGCCCAATCGAAGACTTTTGGGCTATTTTGAAAGGCAAAGTGTATGAGAGTAACTGGCAAGCAAAAGACGTGAAACAACTACGAACCAGAATAAAGCTTTGCCTGAAAAAAATTGACCTTAACCTTGTATCTTCACTTTTTGGGTAAACTCGTGTTAGAGTTGGCCGAATCCGAAGAAACAGACTTGTTGAAGACAAACTTAATTAAAATAAATAAATAACTAAAAACTCTTTTTAATGATAGTTTTATTTAATCTCTACCATAAAAACTTTGGGAGTAATTGCACTTGAAAGTTTGTCCGGATTTTTAGTCACCACCCGTTAATCAGGATAACATAGGTTACGTCACAACTTCCTTTTGGAAACCTATTTTTCGATATTTTAATCGTAGTCAATTGAATAGGTACAACATATAGGTCTATAAAGGTTTATAAAGGTATATATAGTCTACAACTTTATACTTTTGTACTGTTGAATTGAACATTCGGCACGAATTCATTTTTTTGTGACACTCTGAATACTTCTGAAACAAAACTTTGAATTTTTTACATTTGCCAATCGTCTCCATCTGAATTGGATGTTCTGGAAGGTTTATATTATCAAAAACAGTTTGAGGAACTGAGTTGCATTACTTCATTATGTTTTCAAACTAAAAAATAAAAAACAATTTTCCGAAAAACAAATTTTAAGTTTATACATTATATAAGATCATATTTGGAATGACAACAAAAAGTTTTCAAAATTTTATAAATCTACATAGTACACAAAAAAACAGATCACTGTAATTGCCTGAAAGAATAAATATACTTGAATAACAAGGTTACCAATAACATTTTATGATTTCCAATGAATGAGCATTTATGAAAAGCTTGACGCTGCACTCGACATGATTATAAAACAAATTCAATTCCCTTTACAATTGTGCCAGTTCCTTTATTCAACTCAACTTTAGAACATTCTGCAATTCGTCTCTTCTTATAAAGTAAATACAACTATTAACGTACAAACAATCCAGATTATCTCCTTGAAATATATTATTATTTCTAGTACTTTTTAATGTAAATATACATTTTCTGTTCTTTTTGATACTAACAGTGCAATTCTCTCTTTTGACATTACCTTTAAGTTTTCTGAATTTTCAGTGTTATGAATACTTCAATAACACAAGCATCTTAAATAAGAAGAATTTTGTTATTTGTATTTTCAATGGAATATTTTAACTGGAATATTTCTTCCACTTTTTCAACATAATCATCATATTCACTTGAATCAAGGCGTTAATCATTCATTGCAAGAACTCCTGATAGTTTGAAATTGAGAAGATGAGATTCGTTTTCCAACAAGTTGAAAAATAAGAAGTATTTATAATGTGATGTGGAGAGCTGGTATCACTATCAGAAAGATTTACAATAATACAATAATATACTTTAATAATAAATAAAGAGATATACAATAATTAATATATCATAAATAATAAATTTTTGATGCGTTGTACATATATTACTGGCAATAATGTTTTGATAACAATTACTAAAAAACTGTTCAATTAATAAATTAAACAATGACTCATCGATTACATTACTGAACTTCTTTGCATTTTTATTGTTACCTCATTTTTAAAGCGTACAAAAACTGATTTAAAAAACTTAAGTTTTCTTAAAAGAATCGGTTGGTTTTTATTTTTCATGTTCAATTGCATTTCATTTTTTGTGATTTCACAAAATAAGTAGCAATAACAACCTGTTAAATGACTTTATTTTTAGATTTTTTATAAACACTATGCATATTTAATAGTTAACTCAGAAATTACTGAAGTTATAATTTTGCAAGTTGCTCCTAAAATGTCGTAGACAGCACAAAGAAATTCAAAATAGCCAAATATAAATACTCGTTGGGGTTTGGTTTAAATCAAAAGTGCCTCTCTTGTTTATTAATTCCACCAGAAATTCTAAAACTTCAACAATCAAATCGTCACCTGGCCAAACTTTTGAAACTTTTCGTTGATTTGAAAGTGAAGGTAGTTTATCATTTTTTGTTTTGAAAAATATAAAATATGAAAATTTTTTTTTAGTGTTTACGGTTTGTATACCGTAAGTAGACAAAAAAAAAATATTTCCGGTATCTAGACAAAAAAAAGTAAAGTAAAAATAAAACTACTTCTGCAAAACTAAAACTACTTTTATAATGTAAATATTAAAAAATGCAAATTTTAAAAAAAAATGGAAAACTGTACTAAAATATTTATAAACTGTCCTAAAATAATTATAAACTGTTTTATGTAAAATTAGAGATGTGCCGGAACCAGTTTATGCCGAGTCTCCGATTCCGGGTACCCGGCTGAAAAAACCAGGTCCGAGTCCGGGTACTCGGCACCGAGTCCATTTTTTAAAAGTTGGAATAAAAACTTGGCAAAACTATCTTGTGTTCTAACAGAATAAAAAGAAGCTATTTTAAATCTTTTTTTTCCATTCTTTTTATTCGTATTCTCGAATTATTTCATTTAGCGTTACAGTTTTTGTATCCGTAAGATTGTTTTAAGTTAATAGAACTTTGTGGTTATCGACTACATAACATTCTTAGACTTATATCAAGAAGTTTAATGGTTAAAGTTTAAACTAAAGGAAAAATCAATTTGAAGATACCCGGTGCCGGGTACTGCAACAAAATGGCCGATACCGGGTACCCGGTAAAACAGCTGAATTGCCGGGTCCCCGAATCCGAACCGGGTACCCGGCACATCACTATGTAAAATCACTGTTAAAAAACGAATATTATTGTCCTAATCGTTTTTTCATCTTTTCCCAAAGTAAAATACAGTCTGCCTTATGTGATACAATGTCTTCTGAGCCTCAACTTGAGGAATATTAGCTTTTTATAGTATATTAACTTTATAATTTTTATCAAAAAAATTGAACATAAGCGCTACTTATTAAATTTTTGCTTTCATTGTCGGCCCTGCATTTTCTATTAGTAATTAATATAGTTGCTTTTGTCGTCTTTACATGGTTTTCTGACTAATATTAGTTGGTGTTTTTTTTTTTGGAGTAGCCTGTAATAGACAAATTTTTTTTCACTATATGTAAATATTTGATTTATTATTTTGAGGAATCTGCAATTTTTGTAAAAGAGTTATGTATTTCTTACCCGTGGACCACCAGAAGAAAGTTTAAATAAATGTTAACTGTTTTTTGTCATTTTTAGTTTTGCAACGTGAGCAAATGCATAGTCTAATTCTTTACTTATGACGCAAGTTTTATTAATTTTGTAAACCTGTCTTACTTAATAACTGCCGCCATTTACTTTGTCCTACCTATATTTTTCCAAATTTAATTGGAAAATTAGAAACAGAAGCAAAAAGCCCAATATGTTGCTCAAACATAACTTTATGTTCCTCAAACGCAACTTTATGTTGCTCAAACTTTAAATAGTGTTTCAAAAGCAAAAGCGTTCTAAAGTGTTTTAAAAATACTTGAAATGAAAAATTTGATGCAAAAAGTATAAGCAATAAGGAGGAACATGAACGAGTATGCAAAAAGGGAAACATATCATATAATTATTCAGCATAATCTCACTCCTCATTGACAGTGGCAGACACATTAGCCTTTGTTTGCGTTATCAGCTATGTTGATAGATTCATAGCACATATAAGACATATCTGAAAAACTGTCTATTATTACATTAATTGACTCTCTTGTCCAAATAACTTTATTGCCTGATAGTGGTCTTTCACATTGTTTCTTCTTTTTTCTAGAGAACTTTTTTTACTAAACAGATGCTTCTTTCAATTAAACATGTTTGTGACCAGAGGTTTATAATGAAATTAGATGAGGCTGTTCCTCGTTTGTACATATGCCTCATTACTGAATAGCTTTTCATCCAAGTTTTTGGTGGGTGTGTTCCTGTCCTGTCTTTTCCAACCTCAGCTAAAAATGCCTTGTCAACTCTAAATCGTATAGATATAACATTAAATAATTCATTGCCAATACAATTTCCACACAATCTGCAGAGCTTGACAAGACAAAGATATGTGATTAGCAGCAGTAGCAGTCGTCATATTACGTAGTAAGGGGAATTTTTTTAAATCATAACTTTTTTTAATTTTTAAAAATGGCTGGTAAATAAGTTTTGTCTTATTTAAAAGTGTTTAAAATTAAGTTTTAGAAACTATTTAGTTCTCCAAATATAAACCAGTGAAAGTAGAATTTCTTTTATTTTGCTTCTTTTAAATTTGTTAAAAACCAATGAAAGTAGACTTTCTTTTATTTCGCTATAATCTTTGGTCTTATAAACGTCTTTATAGTCTTTGAATGAGCTGGAACAACATTAACTCTTAAAGGACGGGAAAAAAAGCTGCGTTAAGGACGGCTGGGGTATAAAACTACTCTAACTAAAAATATAGGTTTTTATACAAAATATGTTGAGTTTTTTAAATTAAAATGCGTGCTTTTAACAAAAATATTTTTTTCTTAATGTTTTTTTAAAAAAAAATAAGATTTGATACAATTTATTCAAATAAAAACAAAATATATCTTCTAAATATGACAACTATCGCAAACAATTTTGCCATTAGCCTTGCAAACAGAATGACTACATGATGCACATTGCAGACGGGTTTTTCTATCGTGAACACGAGTAGACATATAGCATTTTTATATGCTGTTTTTGAACTGGTTGACCTTGATTTAATAGGTTATTTAGTGTAGTTACTTGGCGAAGATTGTTGTTTGCAAATACTTGTAGAAGATTGTCATTTGTATCAAAATTTTAAAATGACTTTGAATATTCTTTTAAAAATTCTCTTCTTCTATGAGAAGCCCCATTTTTATAATTTGTGTTACTCTTTTGGTGACTCGAGTAGCACCTGACAACTTTGTCTAACGTGTCAACTTTACCTTTATATTTGTTGCAATTTAGTATAATATGTGGGTTTTCATTATGGTCCATATTCATATGTAATTTTGAAATACATATTCATATGTAATTTTTTATAACATATTCATATGTAATTTTTTATTACATATGAAAAAGCAGTAATATTATTATCAGTCTTTTAACACTCTAATAGGCCATATTTCATTATGGTCCATTACTGTGTTGAAAGGTTGATAATAATATTACTGCTTTATTTTTCTTAAATACATTTGAAACCAAAAAACCGGCAAGTTTGACCCTTTTGGACAAAGTCAGTCGGCATAGGTAGACCCTTTAGAAAAGTCAGTCAGCAGGTATCGACTAAGCAGTCGGCAAATTTCATGAATTGAGGATCTTTATTTATTTTAATCGACAAAATTGTGATGACACAACCCCCTCTCACGTGACGACTACTCGCGCCGGCCCTGCTTGTCAAATAATATTATTTACACGTGGCTGAGCAGCATTTGCTCAGCCACGTGATTGTGGCTGAGCAAATGCTGTTTAACAAAATGAGTTTTTCTTAAACAACTTCTTCATCACTTTTATCAGAGATGGTAGCATCTGATTAATTGTCAGGTGTAAAAAATAGTTTCAGCGTTTAATAAGCAAAATATGTAAAAAATATATAATAATTTATTTTAGGCATTACTATTTAGCAATAATATAAAAATTTTTGAAATAAAAACAAGAAATATGCAACATGAGTACTCTGTTGTTGTCACAGTGATTGTATATATATAATGCATATGTATATATATATATATATATATATATATATATATATATATATATATATATATATATATATATATATATATATATATATATATATATATATATATATATATATATATATATATATATGAATGGTATAATTTACTCAAAAAAAAAATAAGTAACAACCCCATACCTAATAAAAAATAACTAAAACGCAAGCAACTAAACATAATTCATATAGCTATTTATTGTATTACAAACTAAAAAATAAAAAAATTTCCATGGGGTAAAAAAATACATCCACTCTCTTTTTATTAACATCTTCAATTCCAACAAGGCTGCAAAAAACCACTATTAGAGAAGAAGAGGAAAGATGAGGTTTGTAAAGCAAGATAACAATTGACAGATGATTTAAAATGATGCAAAATATATGAGTTAGGAAAGCAAGATGAAGAAAGCGAATTCAAAAGAACTGCTGTTCGAGGAAAAAAACTAGACGAATAAGAGTTTTTGGTATTTCTTTAGAGCAACGCCCATTATTGTATTTGTAGAAAAGAGAAAGAAAACAACATTACAATTATGTGATAATGATTGGAGGTTGGCTACAATAGCAAGTCCAACTAAGTTTACAATGCGTTTTTGTACCTTGTCTAAAAGAGAAAGGGCATCATTAGAAGATCCGCCCCAGATATGGCAACAGTATTCCATAAAAAATATAAAAAATATAAAAATCTGTTTGAAAAACTAAAAAATAAATCTA